TTCATATTTTTCTTGAAGTATCTTTTTGTTCTTCGTTTTTCTGCAATATATTTTTTATTGTTTTCAATTTTAAGTTTTCGACGATTTTCCATTGTTTCAGCAATTTGTGGCACTTTTTTCCAATCTCTTGGTGAACCGTTGATAGAACTTTTTTTGTTGTAAATTGGGTTGCAGCTGCATGACATCGTACCGTGTAGCTGTCTCTCATATTATAACATATTCTTTTTCCTGAAATTAGTTTGCATATTACATTATTTGCCGACTCCACTGCATTTGTAGTAACTTTGTACAACAAACTCTCTGCATACCGTCCTAAGTATCGTAATCCTTCACATATTTTTGAATAAGCATCTGTATTGCGTAGTATAGGCATTACATTTTCTTCTCCCAATAAATTTAATCCTCCACATGGCCAATTTAGTTTTTTACAATGTTTATGTTCACCAAAGACATGACTTGGGACATTCAATATATCCTGATATAATAATTCAACTTTTTCGATTATTGTTAAAGCTTCATTTTCTCTACGTCTGTCACTTGCTGTAATAATTTCAATTCGAATTTTAAGTTTTTTGTTTCTTAAGAGTTGTCGTGCATGTGCATTTCCAGGATTAACATCTTCATTTTCAGCCTTCTCTGATGTCACAACATCTATGAGTTTACATAAATTTCTAAATTTATGATTATTGCACTCTAATTTTTTTATAACAATATTGTATTCCTCATAAGGATCATGACTTGCTAGTATGGCATCCGTGCTGCTGTCTCCATCACCGATCCTGTATTTATAAATTACTCCATTCTTTTCAATGCTTGTCATAAAAGCTTCCAAAACAGCATCACTTTCCATTCCGGCAGAGCTTTTACTTTCATCGTAATTTGAAAAACACTCATGATCTTTAGGTTCTCTTTCTTCTTTTATTGCTCGTTGACATACTGCACAGGGAATATTTCTGACAATGATATCTATTATTTCATTGGTTTCATAGCCTATCGTTACTACACATCCTCCTAATGAATCATAAGCTCCTGTGCGGTAACTTCTTTTTGACCAAGCACAGTCTACTATTACTGTGATATAAGGTATGTTATTAACGACATGGTCTTTTGCTCTTGCTATTTCTCCTTCTTTTAGAGCAGAAGCTTTCATTAATTTTTTATTAATATTTATAACTTCCAACCCTATCTGTAAGCGAGATTTTATGTACATTGCAGGGCTCATGTAATGGACATTAATAGCTGCAAATGCTTCTTCCATCGTTGAATAACCAATGCCTGCAGTAATTGTACCAAGGGCAGAAGCCAAGTTAATATCTAAATAATCATCATTATTAGGCTCTGACCAAATTGCAACAATTGCTCCACATACATCACACTGTAGACTGTATTTTGTTTTTAAGCCTTTTCTATAACGGGAAACAATTTTCCATACTTTGTTTAACTCTTTCATGGCCAGTGGGACACATACGTCCCACCTACTTCAAAAAATCATAACTTTCATAAAACTTAATCGATTAACTCCACTAATATCTCATTTTGAAGAGGAGGGATAGAGTAACAAATGTAAATACATGTATTTTTTTAAAAAACTACCCTCTTTGAAATACACCCCTTCAAAAAACCCGAAAAATGAGAAAAATGAAAAAACAGGTATAAATTTCAGAAGAAATTTTTTTTTCAGGCTTTCATAGTAACATATGTTTAAAAATATTGCAACCTTTGTAAAAAAAAATTAATATTAAAAATTCAACCCGAGGGTGCAGAAAAATAACTAAAACTACCCCTAAAAACCAAAACCTTTAAAAATTAATAAATTCGCTTGAAAATTGTTACTTGGGGGTTTTCGGGGTCGCTGATTACGAATCCGATGTCCGTTTTCAAAAATTCAAAATGGCGGATCCAAAATGGCGACCGATAATTATAAAAAATTACTAGATTCGCGTGAAACTTATCACTCGGGGGTTTTCGGGGTCGCTGATTACGAATCGGATGTCCGTTTTCAAAAATTCAAAATGGCAGAACCAAAATGGCGACCGATAATTATAAAAATTTACTACATTCGCGTGAAACTTATCACTCGGGGGTTTTCGGGGTCGCTGATTACGAATCCGATGTCCGTCTTTAAGAATTCAAAATGGCGGATCCAATATGGCGACCGATAAATATAAAAATTCACTAGATTCATGTGAAACTTGTCACTTGGGGGGTTTTCGGGGTCGCTGATTACGAATCCGATATCAGATTTAGAAAATTGAAATTGGCGGATCCAATATGGCGGACGAAATGATTAACTTTCATTAGATTCATCTGAAACTTATTACTCAGGGGTTTTCGGGGTCGATAATTACGAATATGATGTCAGTTTTTAAAATTGCAAAATAATGCTGGTGTCATTATTGCCTATTAATTTTGTAGCTTTTAGTGCCTGTTGTTAGGAGTTTAGTATGAAAATGAAAATTACAGACCCAGGCTCAATCGGTGAGGTAGTGGGAGAACGCTACACAGAGAAAACGAAACGACGCGCTGATTGCCTTATAACAGCAGTTCCACATGGGAGCTTCTTTACTACTGTCGTACCCCCCCCCCTTTCATTTACCCAATGCACTCCCCTCTACGCCATCGTGGAGGGGAGTGCATTCAGTATGTACTCAATGCATTACTCAATATGATAATAATCAGTGAAAATTATTTTTTTGATTGTTGAAAACTGAATTCAGTATCTTATAACTTATGAATTACACAGCCCCACAAAAAAAAGTGTCGTGCGCGGCAGACCAGACTAGTCATTTCCCATGTATTTTGACGCGCTGAACACGAATCCGAAGTCCGTTTTGCTCCATCACGTCAGGATTTTTTTCTAACCTCCAAAAACCTGTCGGATTTTGAGAGGTAGGCTATTTTTTTTTAAAATTGATGGATTTACTTCAAAATTGGTATCTAGGGGTTTTTTGGGTCGCTGATGACGAATTTGAAGTTAGATTTTCAAAATTCAAAATGGCGGCTCCAATATGGCGGACGAATTTTGTAAAAATTGATGGATTTACTTCAAACTTGGTATCCAGGGGTTTTTTGGGTCGCTGATTACGAATCTAAAGTTAGATTTTCAAAATTTAAAATGGCGGCTCCAATATGGCGGACGATATCGACCCTTCAAAGGTGATAATTCCGCCCTTACACACGAAACTAGGAGCAATTAAACAGTTTGTCAAAGCCTTAGATAAAAAAGGAAACTGTTTCAAATACCTGGAACAAAAGTTTCCAGAAATCTCTGATGCGAAACTAAAAGAAGGGGTTTTCGATGGACCACGTATTCGCAAATTGTTAAAAGATGAGCAATTTATCACCAAGATGAATAAAAAGGAGAAAGCCGCATGGCTTAGTTTTAAAGCAGTTGTCGAAAATTTTCTGGGTTATCACAAGAGTGAAAATTGGGAGCAAATAGTTAGTGATATGATTAAAAACTTTGGTAAGTTAGGATGCTTAATGAGCATAAAGTTGCATTACTTAGACTCGCATTGGGATCAATTCCCTGAAAATTTGGGAGATTACAGTGAAGAACAAGGAGAACGATTCCATCAAGATCTGAAAGAATTTGAGCGTCGTTATCAAGGAAGATGGGATGTAAATATGATGGCCGACTACTGTTGGATGCTGAAAAGGGATATTGTACCTGGAGGCACCAATTTGAAAAGAAAACCATTACACAAATCCTTTGAGGACAAAAGAGTGCGCTACCATAAAAAGACGTGAATACCTTACTTATGTATATAAGAATTTTCATTTCTAGTTTTGAAAATCTAACTTCAGATTCGTAATCAGCGACCCAAAAAACCCTTAGGTACCAAGTTTGAAGTAAACCCATCAATTTTTACAAAATTCGTCCGCCATATTGGAGCCGCCATTTTAAATTTTGAAAATCTATCTTCATATTCGTAATCAGCGACCCAAAAAACCCCTAGATACCAAGTTTGAAGTAAATCCATCAACTTTTACAAAATTCGTCCGCCATATTGGAGCCGCCATTTTGAATTTTGAAAATCTAACTTCAAATTCGTCATCAGCGACCCAAAAAACCCCTAGATACCAATTTTGAAGTAAATCCATCAATTTTAAAAAAAAATAGCCTACCTCTCAAAATCCGACAGGTTTTTGGAGGTTAGAAAAAAATCCTGACGTGATGGAGCAAAACGGACTTCGGATTCGTGTTCAGCGCGTCAAAATACATGGGAAATGACTAGTCTGGTCTGCCGCGCACGACACTTTTTTTTTGTGGGGCTGTGTTAGGGGTGGATTTCAAGGGTAGGGGGTGAGTTTATTATTATTATCCATATCTGTGAAACATTGAAATACTTTTTTACAATTCAGAAGCACTTAGAATCCATATAATTTTTTTCATTTATTCACAAAAACATTTATCATTAAGGGGTGGTTATTTGACTTAAGGGTTGTTTTTCAGGGGTTGTTTATATTCAGTATTAATACTTAGTTATCATAGAAAATTTTTTTTTTCATATTTTCGAAAATCAGTGAAAATTATTTTTTTGATTGTTCCAAACTGAGAATAGTTATGAATTAGGGGTGGGCTTCAAGGGTAGGGGGTGAGTTTTTTATTATTATTATCTATGTCTGTGTAACTTTCAAATAATTGTTTATAATTTAGAAGCAATTAGAATCTATAGATTTTTTTTAATCATTTACAAAAACTTTCACCGTCAAGGGATGATTATTTGACTTTAAGGGTGTTTTCAAGGGGTTATTGATCCTTTTCAATTTTTAAGCAACCAGGCAATGTTTATAAATAAATAAAAAGTAGATAAGAGCTGAAAAATATTTAATTCATCAATTTGGTTAAATATCAGTTTTTTGGGGTAGTAATGTACCGTGGGGGTGGTTTTAAGGGGTGAAACATGTTAAAAAAAATTTTTTTCTCATACTGAATACTTTAGTAATTAAATCTAATATACATTATAAGTCTAAAGTAACGACAAAGAACTCGGCCATTAAAGGGTTAAACAACCACGTTTGTGATTGTTTTCTACTACGACTTTCTTCAGAGTATCATTTATGACATGCGTCATCATTGAAATCTCCCTTTCATGAGTAGTAAATTCGTTCAATATTTTCACGTTCTTAAATTTGTTATTCACATTAGATTTATCTCTTTTTTCTTTATTTTCTTCTTGAATTTGTTCTTCGTTTTCAATAAGATACTCAATTTCGTCATCGCTTCCATTTGATGCCATGTCACATTTCCAAATTATCTCTTTCATTTCTTTCTCTTCTAATTTTTGTTCCATTATTTCTTCTTCTTCGTCCGCTTCTGGGTCATCTATTTTAAGATCTGTTATCGTTTCTTCCTCTTGTTCTTCTTCGTCTTCTTCTTCCTTATCTGTTTGAAAATCTATTAGTTTTTCTTTCACTATTACTTGATCTAATGTATCTACAACTTCAAATAACTGTTTTTTCTCTTGTAATAATAAATTTTTCTTTATCTCATATTCTTTTGCGTTTGTTTGTCCTAATTCCACTTGATTCTTTACAACTTCTGTTAGTCCATTTTTTTCTTTTTCTTTATCTTCTTCTATAATCATTTCAATTTCCTCCATTAACTCTTCAACTATTTCTACTTCTTCTTCAGTACATTTAAGGTCTGTTATATAATTTCTTACCTCAACTTCATTTTGGATTTGTTTCTCTTTCATAACATCTTTTCCATCTTCTTTTACCATTACTGTTTCTATTTCTTCCATTACTTCTTCTATTTCTTCCATTACTTCTTCTATTATCTCATATTCTTCGTTCTTTCTCTCTTTATCCACGGTTACCTGTAACATCATTTCCATATTACCACTTACCTGGAAGTTTTCATTTTCGTAATTGATGTTGCCAAATGGAATGTCCTTTTCTTCATCAAATTCCTTTCTTGATTCCTTAATTGCAGATTTCTTTAACTTTTCTTGCTTCTCACGTTGCCGTCTGTTAAAATTGTAAAAAATTAATTAATTATTTTAAAAAATTGTTTTTAAAAATGTTTAATGTTTTATATTAATATATATGTTAATATGATAGAAATTTATCAACTTTTCTACATATTATATTGTATTTTAGTACGGCCCAGACCAAATCAATCTCGACTAGAATAAATGGCTAACCCCTGACAAATACTGTTGTGGCAATCTAGACTAGATCTATCATAAGGTTTCAATCGGGTTCTGTCAAGGAAACTCTCTAATAGCCTATGGATTATATTGATTTGCTCTGTCATAGATTTTTAAAGTGTTAAGAGCGATATACTGTCAATTTTAGATATTTGATTTTAATTTTTATGTAACTTGATAAAATTTTTTAATTTTTTTTGTTAATTTTAAAGATCTTGTCTTTGTTGAAATAATACCTAATACCATTATGTTAGCCATATTTACAAATGAAAACAAAGATAGAACTTGAGTTTTATTGATCATATCAAAAATTAATGATATGTCATTTAGGGGCAGTTAACAAAATACGTAATACATCTAGGGGGAGGAGGAGATCAAGCTATTTGTTACGGTCAGCCAAAAAAATGGCGCTAATGTATGTAACTGTGCACTACATGGGGGAGGTTGAAATTTTACAAAAAAGCGTTACGTATTTTGTGAACAGCCCCTTACTTAGGTAACCTAAAAATATTTTTTATGTAATAACTTCGCGTATAATATTTAAAAACAATTATGGTTTCAATTTAATGAAAGATAGTGGTAATGTGAAAATTAACCATATTTTTAAAGAATAATGGCAATATCATTAGATCCCAATTAGTTTCTTACAAAATTACTTGTAAGGGCCGAGCGTCATATAAAAATCTAAGGTTTGATTATTTTTTTCCGTTTAAATTGTATTTTAGAATAATTTTTTTTATTATTCAGTGAACATTAACCCTTTGTGTAAACTTTTTGGTAACAGCTTCTTATTTTATAAAAAGGTTTTAATTAAAGTTTTTGGGGTCACTGATTATAGATCTAAAGTCAAAATTTTAAAAAAATTTTATTTTAAATGGCAGATCTGATATGTCGGGCGAAAAAAATTGTTTAAATTTGTTTAAAAGTTTATTACTCAGGAGTTTTTGAAATCGCGGATTGCGATTCTAAATTAAATTTCTAAAATTTTCAATATTGAATATGGCGGATCCAATATGGCAGAAGAAAAATGAAAAATCGTTTAAATTTTGTTAAAACTTGTTAGTCGAATGTTTTTGTGGTCTCTGAATAAAAATCGAAAATATGATTTTCAAAATATTCAAGAATCAAAATGGTGGTTTCAGTATGACCGACAAAAAAATAAAAAATTATTTGGATTTGCTTAAAATTTGGTACCTTAGGTCTTTAGGCGTCATCGATTACGAACACAACAGATCTAAAAACATTGCAATACAAAACTAGTAGGAGAGAGTGGGGCAAAACCGGCTACCCCCAGTTTTCCATGATAGGTATTTTCATTTGTGTCACCCATTACATATATCTTTTATATTACAACCAACATCATTTTAATTATATAACCACTATATAAAAATTTATTTATTATATTTTATGCGACTTTTAAATAGGTCAAAAGAAAATCCATTTTTTATCGAAAGTAAATCACTTATAAAACTTTTTGTGTCGATATATTCGTTTCGGCAAGTATAACATCTTTTTCAGCATTTATTTACGAATAATTTTCAATAAAAGTAATTGTTAAATTATTAACAATAAGCTGAGAATTTTACATTTTGTTAAAAAATGCAGTGCGGGGCAAAACCGGATATACATAAATACATTACACTATGCATATTTAAATTTTTTCTCCAAAGAATCGACATGTATGTTCCGAGAGCAATGTTTAACTTTCGGTATATCAATTATTTACCATATCGATAAATAAACGTTAAAAAATTAATAAAAATATGAAAAATTTCGTCTTAAAAGATTTAACTGCTGTTATTCATTACTAATATAATATATTTTGATTAAATTTATTGAATATTAATTATTTTCTATAATTTAAGTGATATATAATAATAATTGAACAAAAAGTTAAAGAATATTTTATGATTTATATATTTTCTTGATAGTACCCGGTTTTGCCCCACCATCGGGGCAAAACCGGGTACTTTGCATTGTTTTTAAAAACCTGGTTTAAATTGATCAAATTTTTTTTTTCATGGAATCGACCTCATTTTCTCATTCTCTAATGTTCAAGGAAGAATTTTCAACGAGATTTGAACTAATTTATGTGATAGATTCTTTGTAAACCGAGAATTCCAAAAAGGTACCCCGTTTTGCCCCACTCTCCCCTACCAAAGTTTACTAAATACTTTTTTTAATACTTGTAAAGTCCCAATTTGCCTGTCTGCAACAATTAACTGCTTCCTACCTAACCACAAATGAACTGTTGATACAATAGTCATTATGTTAATGTATGCAAATATTTTTAAAAAATATTTCAAAAATTAAAAACATTTTTTTAGTAAATTACGTTCGATTTTAAAAATATAGTTCGTCATCTTAGATCGGCTAATATGAATTTTAAAAATTTTGAGAATCTGACTTTAGAATCGTTATCGGCAACCCCAAAAACTCCTGAAAAACAAGTTTCAAGCGACTCAATGTTCAATATCTTTTAAAGTGTAGGACTGTTCAATTAATAGCTCAAAGAAAAACATATAAGCCAAAAGTTTTGAACGTTTATATAACGAAACATTTTTTTAAATATATCAATTATTAAAAATTATTATGGCAATGTAAAATAAAACAATAAATTTAACAATTATTAAATTAATAATTTCTTTCTAGATATTTAAGGGTGATTCTCTCAAAAAGGACAAATTGCGCTTTTAAGATATTTTGTTAAAAAATATGAAAATTAATTGAAATTATTTAAAATTCTGTCAGCCATACGTTAGGATTTAACAATTTTCAATCAGACCACTAAAGAAAATTTTAAAAAAAGGTAAAATAACTGCAATATTGAATAAAAACTGATGTTACGGAATGGAGTTACGGAATGGAGTTTTAACACTAGTTTTCATTCAATAATTCAGTTGTTTGCCATTTTTTTGAAATTTTCTTTAGTGATCCCATAAAAATTTGTTGAATTTTATCGTATGGCTGGGAGAATGTTTATTAATTGAAATTAATATTATTATTTTTTAACAAAAACCTCGTCCAAAAATTGGGCACAAATAATTTGTTCTTTTTAAGAGAATCACCCTTAAAGCAAACTTCTGTAATAAAATTCGTACTTAACCCGTTGCCTGTCGCTGACGCATATATGCGCAAAACAAAAACTAGACAAGAGTGCACTTGACGCATATATGCGCAACTTATAAAAAGTGATTAAAAAATCTTAAATATTCCTCAAACTGGTTACTCGAGGTCGCTGATTCCAAATCTGACATCAGTTTTTCAAAATTCAAAATGACGGATCCAATATGGCGGATTAAAATGATTAAAATGTGCGGATTCGATTGAAAATGGTTACTCGGGGGTTTTCGGGGTCGATGATTACAAATATGACATTAGTTTTTCAGAATTTAAAATGTCAGATCTAATATGACAATAAATGAATCCGCACATTTTTAAGAATTTCAATCCAACATATTGGATCCGCCATTTTGAATTTTTATTAACTGATGTCAGATTTAGAATCAGCGACCCAGAAAACCCCCGAGTAACCACTTACAATCGAATCCGCCTATTTTAATTATTTCAATCCGCCTTTGTGAATTTTAAAAAACTGATGTCAGATTCGTAATCAGCAACCCTAAAAACCTTAGTATTTCAAGTTTCATGAAAATCCGTTAAAATTTTTTTAAACACACTTTTGGCCCGAACAGTGAAAATCTTGTCGACAGCCAAGCAAGGGGTTAAAGTAGTTGCAAAAGAAATTTCGCGTTCATCTGAACGTTCAAAACTTTTAGCTTATAAAAACATATCAAGACTCGATCAGAGCTCGAATTTTTTCAAAACTTGTAACCTTAATGTGATTTTGTATGAGCTTTGATAATCAAGTGATCCTATAGTTTAAAAAAAATTTCATCCCTTTAGCGAGACTCTTTATTCTTGATTTTTCATCCTAATCATAGTAGACAACTGCCAAAAAACTTTGCACCACACAACAGTCAGGGAAGTTAACCATTTTCACCCCTAAAATTTTAACATTATCAAAAAGGACACAAAAATTTTTTTTTATATTTTGTTTGAAAATGGTTTAATTTTTTTAAATATTAAGTTATTGTTATGAACTTAAAAAACCATTCTGAATGTGGAAATTGTAGCAGCGTGGAAAAAAACCTCAAAATATATTCAAAAAACAGTCTTGATTGCCTTTGGCTGCAGTCTGGATGCGAGTATGGCGGGGATAGAGCCTGGATATTTGGCTACGTTGGACTCAGGTCAGCACTTTGCTTATCTGTTGCCCCACTACGCTGCTTTCGCCATCAGATCACGATGCTGAAGTACGCAATGTTTATGATAAACAATTTAAAATCAATTTTTATTTAATACGGAAAATTATAAAATTGTTTACCTAAAAAATTTGTTTTAAATAATTTGTTGATTAATAAAAAGCTAAAAGTTTTGAACGTTCAAATGAACAAATTTTTTTGAACAACTTCTTTAAGTACGAATTTTATTATAGAATATTGTTTTAAATATCTAAAAAGAAGTTATTAATTTAATAATTTTTTAACTCCTTTACAGTTAGAAAAAGAAATTGATACTGTGGTCTTAACTGTAGTTTTAACAAATTACATAGGGTAGAGGGACCAGTTATCGGACACTTTTTTAACTTTCTCAGGGAGTGATAGGGATAAGAATTGAACAAATTACTGAAAAAATTAAACGTTGCAAACTTTAGGATGACACTGAAATGAAAAAGTAAAAATTATAATGCTCAAGTGAGCAACGATTAGTAGTCAATTGTTATTTAACGCGGAAAATTATAAAATTGTACTTAAAAAAATATTTTTTTGATAATTTGTTGATTAGTAAAAACGACATAAAATACTTTTCAGACAAAAAATTATACAATTTTTATTCTAAAAAATGATTTCTTTAAACATCATTTATCATAAACGTTACGTACTTGAGCATCATAATCTTTACTTTCTCACCACGCGAGCTTAAATTGGGTCCGCGTGAAAAGGAAAAGAATATGTCGAGAAAAGCAAAATAAAGTTTCCAAGCAGATATAGACATTAGCTGGGGTCTGTAGAGTGAGCGTCACGGTGGGGATAATGACAAGACAAGAGCCGACCTAAGACGATCGCAGCCGAATATCCACACTCGACTATCTCCCTGCTATACTCGCCTTCACACTACAGTCAAAGGCAATCTCGCCTGATTCGAAAACTTTCACAAAAAGCACTTTTTCTTGAAAATGAGAGAGGGCTCGTGTTTAATTTAAAAAATCATTAATTGTAAATTTTAATTTAAAGATATTTAATAAAAAAAAATTTCGACGATTTTTCAATATTCGAATTAAAAATGAACCTCCATGAACTTGGCGTCGACGCTCAGAATTGATAATTATTTTTTAGAAAACCAAAAATATTAAATCATTTTTAAAAAAGTTTTGGGTCCAAATAATACATTGTAAAGTATTTCTCAAAGCATTATATTGACCGTAAATCTTAAAAAAAAAAATTTTTATTTTGCTTCCTCGTGGAGGAAGCTATGTAGTCCTTTCGTTTATAAACTTTTTAAAAATGGTGAAAACAAATTTTCCTCTATATAGAAACATGTTATATGAGATCCTGATCAATTGTCCGGATGTATGTATGTGTGTGTATATGTGTGTATGTGTGTGTGTGGATAGTTTTTGTGAACACGATATCTTTAACAGGTTTTAATGGATTTAGGTAAAATTTGGTAGGCTTATTTAACACATTAATCTCTCAAAAATGACGAGAGGATTTTTAAAAATACCCAAAAAAAAAAATTTTATCGTCTTTTTTCCAAAAATTTTTTTGTAATTGAAAAAATTTTTAAAACGAAAAATTTAAGGTAATATATAATATAATCGTCTTCTTTATGTCAAGATGAATCGATTGATATATATAAAGTATACATTTGATTGAAATTTAAAGAATTAATGAAAGTTAAAAAATCAAAAATTCTCATTTTAGCTAAAAAATGATGTGTTTATTTAAATTCATGTTTATAAATGAAATAATTTTATTCCCTGCATTGAAACGAATTGGTTGGTATATATAAAGTATAGATTTGATTTAAAATTTGAGAATTAATAAAAATCGAAAATTCATATTTTAGCTAAAAAATGTTGTGTTTTTTTAAAATTCAAGTTGATGAATAAAATAATTGTATTCCTTGCATTAAAACGAATCGATTCGTATATATAAAGTTTATGTTACACTCAAAATTAATTAAAATTTTCTTTATTTTTCAAAAAATTTAATTAATTTAAAACATTTTTAACTCGAAATTTTTTAAATCAATCAATTGAATTGGACAAATTCATTGCTTCCTTCACGAGGAAGCGAATTTTTTGCTTCACAAAATGAGGAAGCATAATGTTTATGAAATAAACATAAAGGACCCCCTCCTTGTTTATTCTGTGAAAATCATTTTTCGGCTCTTAGCGTCGACGCCAAAGTCACGGATGCAACATTTTATCAGAAATATTGTTGAAAAAATTAATTTCCTCACCAATATATTTTCCAAGATAATTAATTTGTATCAAAAATATTTTTTTAATCTAAAATAATGGTAAAAACAATTAATTTTTTTCTAAAAAATATTGTTCAGAAAATTAATAAAAAAAAAATACTGTGGAGAAAATTAAAATTTCTTTAAAAAATATTGTTCTAAAAATTAATTATTTTAATGAGAGATATGGTTTACAAAATTAATATCTTACCTCCATGTGTTACGAACCGAAAAAATATTAATTATAAAAATTATTATTTTCTATGTCCTGGAGGCACCAAGCTGCCGAAATTAAAAATTCCGTTTAATTTTATGGGATCGTGTATCCTTTTTTAGAAGAAAACTGCCAAGTTACGTTATTCGGAATTGAATTTAAGGGATAAGACACAATAAAACAATTAGGACCCTTTCATACATTTATTATAAAAAGAAATCTTTGATTTTAAAATGTTGAAATAATACAATAAGATAAGAAGATGGAACGATACATGTTTAAAAACTTACTCTACTGCTTATTATACCGTCGTAAGCTAACGAGGGCGAGGCGTCGAGCTGCTTTCCGACGGGCGGAAAAATACACACACTTAGCAAAGCGCGAAAGTGTCTATTGGTAGCGCACGAAAAATGCACTCACGGGTCCACCGAATCTAAACAGCGCAGGCACCACACGTGCGGACTGGCCGGTCAAAAAGACAAAAATTCAATAATTTGATTTTATTCGAATTACTGGATTTTTATT